ACTATCTACTGTGAGGTTACACTATACAGCTGTAATTTCACAATAATTTAATGCAACAAAAATCACAGTAAATTACTGTGAACTCATTCATTTTCTTCTTCTTCTTCTTGTCAGCTTAATCCCTTTAATCAATCCGGGGTCTCCACAGTGGAATGAACCGCCAACTTATCCAGCACGTTTTCCAGCCGTAACCCATCTCTGGGAAACATTACTGTGAACTACCTCACGATTATTTACTGTAAATTCACATACAGTATTTTACTGTGAAAGTAATGCAATTATTAGCCAGTAATTTACTGTGAATTTAAGGTCAATTTTTTACAGTGCTCAACTGTAGTTTTGAGGTGAGTTTGAAGTAGTTTTTGCTAGTAGTTAATTAATCGTGAATTAATCTTTGCCCAGCACTTCAGTAAAACAAATGTTTGACCAATCATTTTAGTCTTAGTTTTTGTTGCCTAAAATAGCCTTGCAACAATCTCAACATGTACTGAAGCAGGAGAACTCCAGCTGACCTCAGACCAGTGGAAACCCAAACGCTCCAGTAGAGGTCAGTGAGGAGCGAAGCAAGAAGAAACGCATGTTGTGATGAAAGAGAGCAGCCCAAAATACGCTCTGGCCTCATGCGATAGGGCTTTAACAGGATCAATAACTGGGATGTTTGCAGAAACAGAGGTTTATCTTAAAAAGCAGCCGCCACAGTTCAGGCTTATAATTTCTGCTATGAGGAAATGAGCAGCGTGCTGAAATCAGGATCTACAGCTGGGGTGTCAAACTATGTTCCTGGAGATCCACAGCCAGTCCTGCACAGTTTAGTTCCAACCCTGCTTCAATACAATTACCTGTAGGTTTAACTAGGGTTAAAGCTAAACTGAGTTTGAAACCTGTGATCTTAGTTCATAGTTCAGTTTACCTTATATATGCAACAGGGAGATGTGTAGTTTTTTGTTCAATCTAGTTTTAAATGTTAGATGATCAATGTAATTTATATACTCATCCTTTGCATGAGTGGAGTATACTTATTAAATTTTGTTGAATGAGTATTTTACATCGGCTACATAATCACTGTTCAGTTAATTTTTATAAGCCTAATATACAAAGGTCTATTGTGTATTAGTTATGTTTTGTAACCATACAGAAATTTATTTTGAAATGCACATCAAGTCAGCTGAGTAATTTTTTTCTTTTATTTTAAATGTTGACTTGCTTGACAAATTTAATTTAATTAAATATAAAATTAAATCAAATAAAAAAAAATCTAAATTAATTATTTTTTAATTAATTAATAAATTAATTTAATAAAAAATAAAACAAATTAAATTCAAAAATAAATAACAATTTAAAAATTTAATAAAATAATAAAATACTTTAAAAATCATATAAAATAAATAATAAAAATAAACTTATTAAATTAAATTTAAAATAAAATAAAAAGCAAATAAAAAAATGAAATAATCAAATATAGTAATAAATAAAATAATTAACAATAATTAACAATTATTATTTGAAAAATAATAAACATTTAAAAATTAAATATAATAGTAAAATTTAACTAAATATAAAATTAAATAAAATAATTAAATAAAAATAAAATAATTAAATAAAATTACAAATAAACTACAACAAATTAAATTAAATCTAAAAATATTAAATTAAATTAAATTTTAAAATAAACTTATAAAATTTTTTATTATATTGAAAAAAGAAATCAGGGTAATACTAAGCGGCAAACGGAAATTGCAATTCATCAACTAGCCAATAGATCCAATTTTCCTCATGTAGAAAAACGCTTAATGTGGCTCAATGCATAAAAACATTAATAATACAGTATATAACCAAGCTCATATGGCCAGAACACATAATAGTCACGTTTAATAAAATGCGTTTCATTTCAAAGTGTTTCATAAAAAGAAAAAACCCATCTCAGCAAATGCACAAGGAATCTTCTGTCCACCAACTCATCATGAAACTCTTAATGACAACATCTGAGCTCAGAAATTCCCTTTGGCAGGACTGACTAAAGTCCATTGGGTCATTATCATCCAGGGTTTAAGACAATAACTCTCACATTAGCCGTGTTATTACTTCCACTGTCTAAACATGGGAGTCACAGTACAGTCATCTGAAGCTCATTCTGCTTATTTTTTAATTCCTCTCTGAGTGAGTTGTCCCAGAAAATCCTCTGCTTCAACTGATAGACCTGAATGAATATAAACATGGTTGCAATTGGAAAGTAGCAAATTGATTGAAAACCAATTAAAGATAAATTGAATCAAATGGATTTAAAATAAAATTACAATTAAAATAAAAATTAAAAATGTTTAAAAACAATAATTTAATTAAAAATAAACAAAAATAAATTAAATTAAAATTTGATTTAATAATAAACAACATAAAACCATAAAAGTAATATAAAATATAATAAATTAATAAAAAAAATAATTAAACTAAATTAAAAAATAAAACATGATTTATCCATGCATTCAATTGATTTAAATTCTTTAATTAACATACAATTAAAATTTACTTTAAACATAAATTAAATAGATTAAAATAAAAGAAAAAAACATAACAAAAAACAATCAAATATAAAATAATAATAATATTAATAATAATAAAAACAGAATAAAATCTTTCTGACCTTAAATGTTAGATTTTTTTTTACTTTTGAAAAATAATTAATCCATACATACAATTGATTCAAAATACATTAAAATTATATTAAATTAAACTGAATAAAAAAACTAAAAATAATAATAACATTAAAACTAAATTTAAAATAAACTAAAATTAAGTTAAATACTTAACAACATAAAACAAAAAATAATATATATTATATAATAAATTAATTTTAAAATTAGATACAAAATTTAATTTAATTTAATTAATAATAAAACATGATTCATCCATGCATACAACTGATTAAAAAAAATGTCAATTTAAATTTGATAAAAATAAATAAAATAAAAATCTTCCTGAACTTAAATGTTTGTTTAATTATTCATTTATTTACTTTTTATTTACGATTATTACTTTTAAAACATGATTCATCCATGCATATAATTGATTGATTTAAAACAAATTAAATAAAAATTCAATTAAGATTTAATTAAATTAATAAAAATGTATGTATCTTCCTAACCCTTAATGGTTGTTAGACTGTTAATAGATTTTATACAATTTTTGTTCACTCCTTCCTTCACTCATGCAACTGATTTTAAAAAACTAAATGCAACAGTCTCTCATGCAGCATTTTCCAGATTACTAGTAGTCTAAACAAACACTGAATCTAACGTGTTTCTGGCGTCTAACAAATCTCTCCCAGAGGATCTGCTTCTCCAGCGGGATCTCATTTGGGCGTTTATCTTTCCTTAATTGTCAGACTATTGAAATGTGCAAAGGGCAAAAGTGTGTGAGCGTGTCGCCTTCAAAGCATCTGCTGGCTTTTATTCAGAGGTGCAGAATCAACACACATGAGGGCCAGATGCTGAAGTGACCACTGATAGGACTTCAATCCTCTGTGTGAATTCCTCAGAAAACAAAGCTTAAGTCCAGATACAAGCAGCGAAGGCCTTTGAAGATCTCAGCTGCTCATAGCCTTGTCCTGAACACAGACTTGAGGAAAACACAGCTACTGCAGCGTGTGTTTGCACGTACACTCGCTAAATCAATCAGCAAATGAACCGACACATGCATGCTTTTACACCCAGACTATATGATATCAATCTATATGAAAATAAAGCTAAACAAATGTGCATATAAATAATCAATACAATATATAGAAACTATTTTTCTAAATCTCTTGACTTAATTGCATTAAATTATTAATTAAATCTGAATACATCTTAAAGATGTATTCAAACATGGACAATATTATTTTTCCTCCAATTTTTATTATCATATAAAAATATCAACCATACTTAAAATAATTCAAAGGATAAACTTGTATTTTAATTTCATTTAAATAATTTTATATTTGATAATAGGAATAATAATAATAATAATAATAATAATAAGTATTATTATTACTAATAATAGATTAATAATATTAATTAATAATATCAATTAATAATAATAATAATAATATGCAATAACACAATAATTACATTAAAACACAATAACAAAAAAATAATCATTATATTTCAAATAATTATTCAAATTATAAACTTGTATTTAAATTTTATTTGAACTATTTGTAACTTGTAACTTTATTTTTTAGTTTTTATTTTATGCAATAACACAAGATGTATATGCATGTAAATAAAAATTGCGTTTAAGTCTTTAATAACAAGCCAATGCACTGACTTAAAGATGTATTAAAGCACTAACAATTTTATTTTCCCTTTAATTTTTCCCTTTAATTTTCATTAAAAAAATAATAATCATCATATTTCAAACAATTCAAATTGTGAGTTTGTTTTTGAATTTAATTTGAATTATTTGAATGATGGACAGAACAAAAAATGCAACAATATAACGATAGATAGAATGACAGAATGATAAATAGAAATATAGAAAGATAGAAAGATATAGACAGAATGATAGATAGAACGATAGAATACATACAGCATAGAACATTGATAGAATGATAGATAGAATCAGGACAGAACTATAGAACAATAGATAGAATGAACGATAATAGGATGGATGGATGGACGGATGGACGGATGGATAGATGGATGGACAGACAGACAGACAGACAGACAGACAGACAGACAGACAGACAGACAGACAGACAGACAGACAGACAGACAGACAGATAGATAGATAGATAGATAGATAGATAGATAGATAGA